CGTCACCAAGGGGACGCGCGTGCTGGTGGGTACCCGTCCCCCACCTAGGGATGGGGCTGGCAGCTCCTCGTTCTTCCTGGGAACGGCACCTTCCTGGGATGCTCACCCCCAGAGAGGTTCGGTGGGGTGGGAGAAACGAGGGGTTTCCCTACGGTAGGGTGGGTGCTGGGTCTTGGGGTCTCCAGGTCCACGTCGTGGGGGTCTCCAGGTCCACGTCCCACCTGCATCCTCAGTGAGGATGGGCATGTGGCCAGAGACTCCTCTGTGCACATGGATGTGTCTGGCCCTGCAGACCCTGGGTACCGTGATGTTGGTGGCTTGCTGCTGCTTTGGCACCGTCTTGCTGCAAGAAGAGCATCTCCCACCTTGGAAATGCAGCCGTGCGGCTTTGAGCCCTGGCTTGCTGGGGTTGGAAGGGTTTGGGGACTTCTCCTGAGTGGGGACCATGGGTGAGAGGTGGTGGTGTGCTGGGAACCCCCCTGCAAACCTGTGGGTGGGAGGGGGCAGCCGCAGTGCCAGGGGGTGCCCCCTTGCCCAGGCTTCGCTCTGCTGCAGGTGGCGGATGAGCGGTTCTGCCCGGACGTGCTGAGCACCGCCAAGGAGATGAGCGTGGCCAACTTCCGACGGGTGCCCAAGATGCCTGTCTATGGCACGGCGCAGCCCAGCTCCAAGGTGAGGGGCACGCACCCCGGGGCCAGCAGGGTCACCTGCCACGGGCTCCCAGCCCTCCCATCACCCTTACTGTCCCTTCCCCTAGACCCTGGGGAGCGTCCTGCGGTACCTGACGGATGCCAAGAGGAAGCACGCCCGCATCGTCTGGATCAACCTCCGGGAAGAAGCGGTCCTGGAGGGGAACGAGCAGATCTACACGCTGCGGGAGCCTGGGCACCTGGAGGAGCTGATCCCCGTGCTCGGCGCCTCGCCCCAGCAGCTGGAGGTGAGCTCCTGCCCACCAGGGGATGCCGGGGGTTTCTGCCCATCCAGCAAGGGCTGATCTCTCCCAGCAGCCCTCATGGGCGATGTCTCCAGGCTTTGATAGTCCCTCACCCCCCGGAGCTGCTTGTTTTGGTTGGGTTTTTTTTTCTTTTGGCAATGAGGGGCAGCGGGTCGTATCGGATGCCGTGCTTGGCTCATGCCCTCCGTCTCTGCTGGAGGCTGGGGACACCCCGGTTGATGTGAGCCCAGGTGGCCGACCCGTTCTTTATGGCACTGCAAAAATAACGGAGCCCTCCTGCCTTTGCCGTCGCTGCGTAAGAGTTTGCCAAGGCAGAGCAAAGTGGAGATCCTCCCCCAAAGAATTTATAGCACGGCTTGAAAGCCAGGCTCAAAGGCACCCGGGGAAAGGAGAGCAGATGTTCCCAGCTGGGATTTCGGAGGAGATGGGCAGTGGGGGAGCTTGGCTGCCAGCAGCAGTGCGGCCGTGCGGAGGAGCTGCCCGGGGTGGTGGGAGATGATGCTCCTGAGGCTCCCATCAAGCACAGTGTGGGGACTGTGGTCCTGGGCAGAAGCAGTGGCCAGGCCCTGGTGTGGGGTTTTGCATGGGCCGCGGGGTGTTTGTGAGGGTTGTCAGCCTGCATCTAGGAAAAAAACCTGATTAAAATCCTGAAAAAAAAATGAGGAGGAGCGGGTCTTACAGCGGGGTTTTCTCCATCCTCTGCAGAGACTAGAGGCTGCCCTGAAGGGCGACCTGCTGAAGTGCCAGAAGTGGCTGGAAGTGTACCTGGAGGCGGAGAAGCAGATGAAGATGTTCAAGAGCTGCCTGACCACGCAGGAGATCTTCAGCCAGCAGAAGAACGCCTGCCAGGGGCTGACCTACTGCCGCATCCCCATCCCCGACTTCTGTGCTCCCAAGGAGCAGGTACCCTGGGGATGGGATGGTGCCGCCACCTCCTTCCCGAGCCATCCCTGCTGCTGCAGGGTGAATGTCACTTGGGTGCTCGGTGCCACCCAGCCCCCAGGACTACAGTGGTGTGCCCAGGCTCGGTGCAGGGTGCTTGCTGGAGTAGGGAGGGTCCTCTGGGAGATCACAGAATCCCAGCATGGCAAGGGCTGGAAGGGCCATCAGGAGCTCACCCAGTGCCACCCCCCTGCCCAAGCAGACTCACCCACAGTAGTGGGCACAGAACAGCGTCCAGGTGGGGGTTGAATATCTCCAGAGAAGGAGACTCCACAGCCCCCCTGGGCAGCCTGGGCCAGGGCTCAGGCACCCTCAAAGTCAACAAGTTCTTCCTCCTGTTCAACTGGAACCTCTTCTCCTTCCGTTTGTGCCCATTGCCCCTTGTCCTGGCACTGGGCACCACTGGGAAGAGTCTGGCTCCGTCCTCGTGACATCTACCCTTGAGATATTTGTACGTGTTGATGAGGTCCCCTCTCAGCCTTCTCTTCTCCAGGCTGAACAAGCCCAGCTCCCTCAGCCTTTCCTCACAGGGGAGATGCTCCAGTCCCTTTATCATCCTTGTTGCCCTCCTCTGGACTCTCTCTAGGAGTTCCTCATCTTTCCTGAACTGGGGAGCCCAGAACTGGACCCAGTGCTCCAGGTGGGGTCTCACCAGGGCAGAGCAGAGGGGGAGGAGAACTTCCCTCGCCCTGCTGGCCATGCTCCTGAGACCTGGGGTGCCTTCAGCCAGCCGGGGTTGGAGGGAAGGCTGCTGGGCTGGGTCTGGCACGTGCAGCGAGGAGCTGGGGATTTTAACCTGGAGGCTGCTGGACAAAGGGCATCCCATGGTGGGCAAGGTGGGCTGCAACATAAAACCCCTCCGGCTTTGCTCCTGGCAGGACTTTGACCGGCTGCTGGAGACGATGAAGAGTGCCCTGGCTGAGGACTCGCAGGCCGCCTTTGTGTTCAACTGTTCCAGCGGCCGGGGCAGGACCACCACGGCCATGGTCATCGCTGTCCTCACCCTCTGGCACTTCAAAGTGGGTACTGGGGGCTGCAGCTCTGCCTGGGGTTCAGGAGCGTGGGGAGGGCCGGGGGGTGTGGACGCCCATACATTGGCCTCTGGCTGTGCCTAGCCCCCAGCGAGCCCCGGGAGAAGTGGGGGTGCATCCCTTGGAGAGCCTTCACCCTGTTCCCGAGAGCTCCCACCTCAGGGTGAAGGGTTAAGGGCAGAAGAGATAGGGCTCCCTCCTTGCAGAGAGGATGGTGGGGTAAAATTTTGGTCTTCTCTGCCCAGATAGGGGGGAGGTGGAGGATGCCTGGGGTCCTGGTGGGTTGGGTTTGGGGTCTACATTTCTGCTCAGCTGTTGGGCAGCGGGGATGGGGGCTGCGCAGCCCCTGACAGCCTGGCCCTCTCCGATCTGCCCCAGGGCATCCCCGAGATGAGTGAGGAGGAAATCGTGAGCGTGCCCGATGCCAAATACACCAAAGGGGAATTCGAGGTGAGTCCTTGGGCCTGACTTTGTTTTAGGGTCCCTGTCCGAGCCCGCACCTTGCTACCTTAGCCACAGCTGCTTGTTTGGAGGGGCCGGGTCCTCTCCCGGTCAGGGACAGAGCTGTGGGGTCGAGGTGAGGAGGCACACAGTGAAGCTTCTGCTGCTTCTACCTGCACTCCAGGTGGTGATGAAGGTGGTCCAGCTCCTGCCTGATGGTCACCGGATGAAGAAGGAGGTGGACATGGCCCTGGACACCGTCAGTGAGACCATGACACCCATGCACTACCACCTCCGTGAAATCATCATCTGCACCTACCGGCAGGTGAGTGGCACCAGCGTGCCCCCTTCCCCATCGGCACGGATCCATTGCACCCGATCCCAGAAGACGAACCCCGCTGGATGGTTTCTTGGGCTGAAGCTTTCTGGCACGTCACTGGAGGGGTGCCAGGGCTCTCTTGGCCATGGTTACCCAGTGCTGTCCCGCATCTCATCTGTCCAGTGCCATCCCACACTATCCTGCATCTCCCCCAGCATCCTGCCTGTCCAGCACCATCCCACATCCTGCACCATCCCACATCCCACCCATCCGCTGTTGTCCCGCATCCCAGCCAGCATCCTGCACCCCATCCCGCATCCCATCCTGCATCCCGCCTGTCCGGCACCATCCCGTCCCACATCCCACCCGCCTGGCGGTGCACAGCCAGCAGAGGGCAGGGCCAGCCCGTCCTGCTCCGCTCCCAGCCCATCCTGCTCCGTTCCCAGCCCTGAAAGCTCCTCCGAGCTCGGTGCCTGGGCAGGAGGCATCCTGTGGACTTTTACATGGGAGCTGTGGAGCTGATGAAGGGGAAAACCGATAATTTTTATTAGAGTTGGGGTTTTTTCAAGCCTTGCAACTATTTCCCAGGGCCTCAGAAGGGCTGAGCTTGGGGCTGGGCATCGTCCCTGCCCGGGCTGGTTTGCCCGCGTCCCTGCTGGCGATGCCTTGCTGCAGCTCTTGCCCACAGCGGCCATCGATCCTCCTTTTCAATTAATGGCTGGGAATGATTGACTGGGGGAGGAAAAACCAAAGCATTTAATCACCCAGTGACATCTATGGCTCCCCAGGTGTTTGCCTCCTGCTTTTTGGGGCCCTCTGCATTTTTTGGGGGGCTGGGAGAGAAAACGTGAGCTCCGCAGGACGAGCTGCTGCGGACTGAATATTTGCAGCAATAGCTACCGGGAAATTATTGGGGATAAGTAATTGTATTTTATTTTTTTCCCCCCCTGTATGGGTGTGGGGAGGCAGCCACGTGGCTGGTGGGAAGTCTCACCTACTTCATTGCGTGCTTTGGTGCTGCAGAGCAGAAAAACCTCCTGTGCTAGACACACGGCTGCCTGCTTAGGGGTTTAATTATGCTCACCGGTGACCCCGAACGAGCCCCCTGGACTGGGTGACCTCTAGGGGTCCCTTCCAACCCAAACCATTCTATGAATCTATGATCCCCTGCCTTGCTGCTGACTCCTGCTCGCCATGGCTGTCGGCTCAGCCTTGGAGGGTCCCAGGAGGAAGACCCCAGTGGAGCAGCATCGCTGGGCTGCTCCCGGGTGTGGGGTTTTTTGTTTTTTTTTTTTTTCCCAAAAGACAATTCCCGCGACCTCCTTGCCCTTCTTCCCGGCCCTTGGCGGTCAGGGCCAGCACGTGGGTGTTCCTGGGCCGTATCCCATTTCCGGGCTGGCTGTGTCCAACTCACCCTGGCAGCCCTGTGGGAATGTGAGATAAGGAGGGAATCATCCGCACCCTGCGCCCTAGGAAGAGCCTTTCGTGGCCACCCCCGTTTTGCATTTCCCCTCTCAACTGCTCCATCCATCCCATCGCATTCAACTGGGTCGGGGGGGAAGCATGTGGAAATGCTTTAATTTTTATTTATATTTTTTTTTCCCCCAACGATAGGCAGCTTGAAGAGGAGAATTACGGGAATTGTATAGTCTAGGCGTTGCCCTAATGCACTTTTAATTAAGCCGTGGTTAGTGTTTAGAGAAACGTGGGGTGTGGGCAAAGAGAGAGGAAGGAAAAGGTGCTCTGGTACTTGCGGTGGTTTGGTCCTACCCCTTCCCGCCCCTAAGTGGGAGGAAAAAAAAAAGGAGAATATAAGAAAATAATAAATAACAGGCTAAAAGATAAATAATGGGATAATAAAATGATAAATAATAGGACAATAAAATAAAAATCAAATAGGATAATATAATAGCACGATAAATATAGGACAGTAAGATAAAAATTAAATAGGATAATGGAAAGCACAATAAATAATTGGACAATAAAATAAAAATTGAGTAGGATAGTAGAATAGCACGATAAATATAGGACAATAAAATAAAAATTAAATAGGATAATGGAATAGCACAATAAATAAAAGGACAATAAAATAAAAATTAAGTAGGATGATATAATAGCATGATAAATAATAGGATAATAGGATCTGCTCTCTGCAAGTACTGGCACATGGGGGCAGAGGAGAACCCTTTTCCAAGGGCAGAACCCCTTGCCTGGCATTGCCTTGGAAGGGGGTGCAAAGGGCTTGAACGACCCCCCATTTCCAATGCCCAGGGGTGGGAATGTTTGTGTGCCGTGGCCACGAGCAGCTGGGGAAGGACCTAGAGAAAGCAGAGCGGGGCTTGTTGGTGCTGACACCGGAGCGAGGAATCGCTGCCCTTGGGGATGGGCTGTGGGGTTCGCTGCGGGATCAGGGCTGGCTCTTCATTCCTGAGTTATTACTTAGTAATTCCTAGAAGGGGCATCACTGCAGGGCTCATCTGTTCTTAAAATACCAGCTATAATAATATAATTTTATATACATATATAAATACATATATGCATTTATATACATATATATATATATAAAAAAAAAAATAATCAGAGGTGCGATGGCCACCAACCTCAGAGCAGGGCGCTGGGTGGCTGCTGCAGCCGCTCCTTCTTCTCCGTCGGTGGAGGCTGAATCTGACCAGGGGATGCTGGAAAGGGATGTGTTTTTCCCTGAGGAAATGCTTTCCAGCCCAGGAGCTCGTGGTTTCAGCTATGGTTTGCACCTGGGCATCTATTCCTGGCTCCTGGGCACATGCATTTAACCATCCCTCATCTATTTTTGAGGTCTGCAGGGTGAAGGGGAAGTTTTTCTACGCTGGAAACCAGGAGGTAATGAGAGCCTGGACTGCCAAGCCCCGGCGGGAGCGGGCTGGAAGGATGCGCTTATTTTTGTCCCCAAAGGGGTCCTCCCTCCTCAGCTGGAGGCCAGGCGGGGGCTGCGGGCTGGGCCGGGCTCCTCGCCGGGGATAGCGGGGTTGGAGGGCTGATTTGTAGGGATAAACGTGGCTTTTCCCTAGCGCAAGAGGTCCCCATGGGTCCTTCACCACCAAACTTCTTGGGTGGGTTGGAGAGCAGGACCATGGATGAGGACTTGGTGGAGGAGCTGCCTCTCGGATGCTCTCCCAAAGCTGGGTACCGCTTCAACCAGTTTCTTGCTTCTTCCAGGGGAAATCGGGCAAGGAGGACAGGGAGAGGCGGATGCTGCAGCTGAGGAGCTTGCAGTACCTGGAACGCTACGTCTACCTGATCCTCTTCAACGCCTACCTGCACCTGGAGAAGAAGGACTCCTGGCAGCGGCCCTTCAGCCTCTGGATGCGTGAGGTGAGGCTTTC